GCTTTTGTTATCTTCTTAACGCGAACGCCGCAAAGATGATGATGAATCAACACTTAGTGGGCCCAACATTGTTGGTAGTGCGCGCAAGGGCGGTTCCCTAGTTGCGGGACCCGTATGTATCCAGCAGCTCCTGGCCCCATGCCGTCAATGCACGCTGAGTCGGCAGGGCGGGGCTGGATAACAAGGTCTCCCATTGCTCAAGGAGTTGGGTATTCGGGGTGTCGGGGGGAAGGGATGGTGGGGGGTTCCTAAGTTCTGTGCACTCTGACAAGATGTGTGGCAGGGCGCCATTTTCTATTTTACAAAACGGACAGAGCATGTCGTGTTCCGCAGGGTACATGCGGTTCAGCAGTACGGGATGCGAAAGAGATCTCGCCTGCGCTCGACGCAATATCGTCTGTTGTTTCCTGATCAGGCCGGGGTGCTGTCCTGGTAGTCTGCACCTTCCCTCTCGGTACATCTGGGTAATGTCCCGAAAGCTGGTAACCGGGTGTGGTAGCTCTTCCGGCTCATGCTCGGCCCGAATTTACATTTATCGGGCATGATAGTCGGAAATGGTGTTGCCTGCTACCTGCGAGTTAGCCGGGACCCACACGAGCTCTACGGCTCTTCCCGGAGGCTTGCGCTTGGATAGAATGGCTCGTGCCGCGGATGAGATTACCTCCCTGCGGAAGCTTCCATAGGCTGTCTTTGAGTCGGTGACCACCGTGTCCACGCTCGGCTGTACGAGGGCGAGGGCCACTTCCACTTTGTCGGCAATTGCAGGGTATTCTGTCCTCGAGGACGAGCTGACGATTAGCCTGTCAATGGACGTAACCACTACCGCAGCACGGTCACTGTGTTTTCGGAGTGAGCTCGGCGACCGCGTACATGACCCTGGGGTTCTCTTCCAGCTTGCGGGCCATGGCTTTGGCCAGCGCGGTGCGCCTCTCATCGTCCTTGCCCGGCGTCCTTGCCCGGCGTCATGTTCCGGAAGACGTAGTGAACATGCAGCTTACGCTCCTCGAGCCACGAGGCGCGCGGCTATAGTCATGCGACTGTTTGCGTAAATTCGAGCCGAGGCCGGCTTGTCGCTCAAGGTCACGTGAAATATACGATATAGGTCATTGCCATAAATACACGTTTATGATAGCACTGAAGCACGCTGCTATCACTGCTGCCGCAAACGCTGCTTAACAATGGGTAACTATTCCATACTGGCAACAGATAACGCAATGCTTCTCGCTGCGATTTCAGCTCAGCGCTCAATATAGGATACCCATGCACGCCTAATCTCTGACGCGGCAGGTTTCCTTTGTTATTGACGCTATCGTCACAACTCGATATTGCTGTCAGCCGCACGCTGTATACTTTATCGGTACGCGTTGCGACAGTCTATCTCAATGCTCGCCGTCGCGTAATGGTCGATCGGCGCAGCTTATCGCGTTGCGACCCGCGTTCACGCAGTACAAGCCGCCTGCAAAGAGGTCTTAATATTTCGTACGCTTATATAGACATTACAGCCGGGAGAAAGCATGCACCCTTCATCGATCACGAAGTGCATGTCATCGGGTGACAGGCTCGCAAACTACAGCGTAACTATAGATTTTCTGAACGTGGTAGTCCGCTTTTACGCCGTGGTGAAACCGGTAAGATTACGGCACCTCTCTCTGTTCGCAGCACCTGCTCTGTCGTTACTATGTAGAATTCGCTTCCGCATAGCGTCAATCAGACTTCCTCATTCGAGCATACGGTGGGGCACAATGTTTAGTCAAACGCGAACACTGTTTCTCCGTGTAACACGCTGACCCCTCTTGCATGCACCTTTTCGTCTGCACTAAGTTTGAACTTGATCACCTATTATTAGCACAAGCACACAATTAACATAAATAAATAACGAGGATGGTCAGATAAAAGCTGCATAGTGGCAGCTTGGCTAGTCCGACCGTCCCGTGAAACACGAGGAGCAACACGGCAAGGATATGCACACTCAATCCATACACTTGTAGCAACATTGTAAAAACGAAATAGATACCGCAAAAAAGAAAGAAAAGGTATCGAGCAATTTCAAGTCGTGTGGAATATATTTTTCAACAAACTCGTAAAAAAAAAAAACACATGGCCCTATTGTAGCTCCGCAGACGACTCATTGACATGCACTGTGTTTTCAAGTTTTTAAAACATTTGCGAGAGTCCACGAGAAATGACGACGCCAACTGAAGGACCCCCTTAAACGGCGCGCCTTGCTGACCGATGGGAAGCCGCCCTGCTCAGCGAGCATCCCGCAAACCAGGAGTGGGGTCATCCTGCGGGGCCATCGCCGAGAACCTCGAAAGATGTTTCTCGAACGGTGGATCTCTGTCAGCCTAGCCCCGGGCACAACCGTTGGGCCAATGAAGTTGATTCAACGTCTCGACAACAATCTGAATGCTTTTCGTAGTAGACCATTGACCAATGAGGTATCGTTAGGTCCTTGGTCTGACGTCAGCAGCACATACATGGGTATAGTCGTGGCTTTCTCTCAAGCCACTGGACTGAATGCGCGTCTTTATATTTGCCCCAGCGTAGGGGAAGCATATTCTCATATCCCTACCTCTTACTATTCACATTCACCATTCATTCGCTTCCCTGTTCTTCTTCCCCACAGAGTGAGAGGCCAGAGCAAGCTGTAGCTCAGGCCGACCTGCAAATAAATTTCCCCCCTCTCTCTAAGAAGGGCCTTACACGTGTCGTGCGAACGTGACCTTGTACGAAAAGCTGTAGCGAGAGAAACGATGCTGACAATGTTACGTGACCACGCGAGCTGCGCGTTTCTTCTCGGCGTTCGCGCGAATACGCAACTCTAGAGGAGGTTTTCAAGCACAGAAACTTGGACGAGCTTGTACAGCTCCATGAAGCTACTTCGAGTGTAAAACAGGCAAGATACACTAGAAGGAATAAACAGGACGAGCGCTCTCCTGTTTGTATACAAGCAGGAAACGAGACACGACGAGCCTATAGAATGCACTAGAAGAAGAAGCCAGATGCCTCTTCGTATTCTGACGAGGCGTTTCACTCTTTAAAGGGACAATAAATAGAAGAACTATTTTTTTCTCGTATCAGCGAATTGCTCTCAATACCAATATCGACACGCTTACCGCAGGAAGGCTACTGGTAAGCGAGAAAAAGCAGGTGGCGACGCCATCCTGAAATTCCCACAGTAAACGCTGTGACGTCATAGATTTTTCATGGTGTCTATACTTGGTCCTACGCAGTTCCAAATCAACGAAAAATTAAGTTCATTGTCTTCTCGAACAACCGTAGACGTAACATGCCAAGCTGCTGGAGCCACTGTCGCCAAATACGATATATGCACTTTGAAATCTGTGACATCATGTGCGGCGAGTACTGTGCAAATTTATCCCCTCTTAATAATATATGATGGTGAAATTAACGATAAAATACATGATAGAAAAATTAAAGACATTGGAATCTTCGTAGTACAATTTACCAATATAAACCGATTAATTAATTGTATAACTTTAACATTTTTAATGCATTGGCGCTTTCGCCGTCGAGTCACACTAGTCATAGTGCAAAGGACAGTCGGAACTTTCGAGTTTTTCTATTTTCTAATAATAATAATAATAATAATAATAATAATAATAATAATAATAATAATAATAATAATAATAATAATAATAATAATAATAATAATAATAATAATAATAATAATAATAATAATAATAAAAAATCCTCCCAAGAACTACTCTTAAGCGATATCGCAGCTTCTACGCTACATTGTTGACATTAGAGGAATAAAAGGTGATAATTCGCCCACAGATACAATACTCAAGCCTCGATAAACAAGGGATTTCGCGGCCGTTTTGACATTAGAGTGCTTCTATGTAGCTGGATGACCTTTGAGCATGCGCTGGCATTTTTTAGCTGTTCGCAAACACTTTCTTCGCGGCTCTCGAAATGTGCTAGTCTAGTTACCCGTATATTTCCTATATTACAGCGTGGTAGCTACAGTAATAAGCTATAAAACGCCACGTATGTGTGGCTATAGAGATGTTCGCAGTATTTGTTGATCAAATGACCACCTCAGTTAAGTCGCGCGGACGATGAGCCACGGATGGATACCTTCAGTGCCCAGACGGAAAAAAAATAATCAGTTTCCGGCTGGATATTTGAGCTGAAGATATTTACAGCTGGCAAGAATTACGGTTCAATCATTCAACTCGAAGTGAAAAAATATCCCGCTAGAGCTGTGTAACTTCCCGGCTAGAGCTGGGCTATATTCCAGCTGCATATTCATCGACATCGAGGTGAATGATACAGTGCTCTACAGCTGAACTACCAAACTGGAAATCTTTCCAGCTGAAAAGGTCCAATAAATCAGTTGAAAATGATTTTTTTTTTCCATCTGGGCTACGTTTCAGTTTTCAAGCACCTCGCAAAACGCCGCCACCTCATATACCACGTGAAACATCAAAGCAACCAAAATTGTTCCAGTTTCGTTTCGCCTAAAGTAAATTGGGAATAATCCGCCCAGTTCTGTTGTCGACGCTGAATACATTGACACATTTTTGCCGCTGCTGTATTCTCATTTTTATATTCCCTTTTTTAGTTATGACACTATATACCGTAAGTTGTCAATGTGCAAAGAAAAGCGAAAGCGATCCATCAAGCATGTTTTTACACCACCCGCTGTTCAAGTGATCTGTTCTCTTTTTTTTTCCTTTTTTATTGTGGCGTATCACTTGATATTATAACTTCCAGACTCGTATCTTTTTTTTACTGGTGTATTATTATATTTTTATCGCGCGTACAAATTTTGATATGCCTACTGGCATCTTGAACGGTTCAATTCATTTATTCAGATTGCTGTATGTGCTTACAATTTGTTACGTGATTTTCTTTGTTTTCGATTAACTTAAAATTCTTTGAGTGCTTCGATCATGTGCCTTCTCCTGTCATAGGTCGGCCTATAGTTCCAGTAAACGGACGGGTGCAAAATAAATAAACGACCCGCTCACCGTTGAGGCAGGAGAAGTTCCTCAGAAAGGCGGCGCGGAACATCTTGAGGTGCCGCCTCAGTTCCTGCTCTCCCGGTCCTTCGAAGCTGCAGAACATGAACGCACCGAAACACAGGTAGCTCATTTGCATGAGCACGAGCAGCACGAGAAGGAAGTTGCTCCGCCGCATCCCCATCAGGCGCTTGTAGTGCGCCGACTTGTCATTGCCACCGCCGCTGGCGTAGCCGATAGGCTTCACCAGGCTTTCCGTGCTCTGGGGGAGGACGAGCTTCTGCGTGTCCGTCACCATCATCATTTCTCCGCCTCCGATCTCGAGGTTGCGGTCCATCTAGCGTCTTCTCTTCGGCGGCGAAGAAAAAGAGAAGAACCACAGGCGGTCGTCGTGTCCAGTCGACGACGGCGTTCGTCGGTGGGTCTACACCGCGCTACACCTGTTGCTCGCAGCTGTCGTCGTCTGCTTCGAGTAGGCCTGGCGAGTCGCCCGTCAACGCCGACAGACGACGGAGCAGACGGTGATGAGGGAGCAGATGGCGAGGAAGCACAAAAAAAAAAAAAAAAACCCGAGAGACGCACAGGGAACTGAGCGCGGCGTACAGGGCGGTCAGGAGATGCGGTGAAAGATCAACCTGAGTAACAGTTTCTGAAAGTGAAAAGCCATAGTAGGTCGTCGCACAGGAGTGCACCAGATGTGTATGAGTGCCCGCTGCGGAGAAGCCGGTTGACGCCGACGACGAAACGAGCGCGGTTGAACGCGAAAGCAGACGTGGCCGAGCAGCCGACGCGCTGTGGCAACCTTTTTTAAGCGAAAGCCGAGCAGACGACCGCCGCCGGCTGCCTGTCGTCTGCTTTCTAGAGCGGCGCGGAAGTGGCGCCCCCACATACGTGACGTACTCTCGGAGACAGGGAGCGTGCAGGGACGTCACTTCCTTTTTCCGATTACAGAAGCCGCCAGCGTGCTCCTTTCCCTTTCGCAAATACGCGCCGCTTTTCCGCGCGCCCAGGCCGCGCCAATCAGAAAACGTGGACGAGAGAAGAAAGAAAGTGAAGAGAAGGAAGACAATAATGAGAGAGGCAAAAGTAAGGGCGGTGATGGGACGATTGCGATCTATTGGAGAATCTTCGAAAGAGCTGCGATCCGGCTAGGCTTGGCATACGCGCACGATTTGATAACACATCGGAGCCCACCATATCTTTCCTTCTTCATGATTATTATTGCGCACGAGTCACTCTCGCTGATTGATTCCAGCAAGTGTGAAGCTACCGGGATACATTATTCGCATTGCGAACTAGGCGAAGCCCGAATGTTACGAAAGAAATTGATAAAGCAGTGAGGGTCGGTCGTTATCAATTCATTTTATTGGAGAGATGTTGATAACGCTATCACGGTAACGACCAATCTACAGTGCCCTTTGACACACCCGGACTATGACCCATCCTTCATTCACTTATACCGACACTACTAAGGACAAACTATAAAAAAACAAACAAATAAACGAAAACCACCGGAGTTAAGAAACACGAGATGGCCGGCGCTATAGGAAACGAAGGTTTATTGTCAACTACACATATAATGAGTACGAAGAGCCGCGGGAGAGCTTAGACATGCATAGTTAAAAAATTCGGCAGTTTCCCCACCATGTGGCTATCGGTTATAGCGAAGCAGCCGTCGAGTGTCAATTTTTCGTGGTATTGAGGAAAGTGCTGAAAGATGGGTCGACGTTAAGTGCAGTAGTGGTATGCCCATCGTGGGTTTACCAGGGAATGCCCACTACACTGTTGTACATACACTGGGTAACAGTGGGTAACTTATGATTGGACATAATGTCAGCACTCGCGTTAGAGCATAGACGTCAGCATTATCGGAGCGAAGTGCACTTTACGGTGTGGCGATGTTAATATCACTCGAAACTGTCGTTAGTGTAAATCCCTGACATGTCTCTGCGGCGGAATAACTGATTACCACGCAAAAACAAAACAAAAAAACTTGAGTTCTATTGTTGTTGAAATGCAGATTTTTTTGTCTATCTCTGAATTCATCGGGTCAACGCTGCCGATGTCTGATTTTCTTAACTTTCTCGTATTTAAATTACTAATCTGTCTTCACCGTTCAATGACAGATATAAACTGTCATTCACCTGTAGCACACACGCGCGTATTACGGCCCGTTGTGTACAGGTATTTGCCACACGTGTCTGGTGGAGAGGCTGACTGGGCTGGTTGTCCCGTCTATTTCCTGCCCACCGTGTGCTATTTCGCGCTGTTGACTTTAAATGGTGGAGAGGGTTTTTCGACGTACGCGACGAAATTCTCAAGTCGTGGTGACCAGACAGTCATATTCACCAAGCTCTCTTACCCCCGTATTCAAGAACGCCCCTTCACTCAACGCTTCACCTTCACTTGAGAAAGCCGGTGGGAGCACCATCTCAAGGAAGAGCAAGTCACTGCATATCAGTTATTCTTGAGTAGCGCAGCGCCATTTTCAGCCGAGCTGCGGCGCAGTGCTCAACTCTGTCAAATGAAGGGTGGAAGTCGAGTCGAGGAGCGTTTGTGAATACGGAAGTTACCCTCCCGTACCAATTTTGACCTACACGAAGTTCGAGAAACGATCACGAGAGGACGTAGGCGCTCAGATATAAAGACACGTAGACGGAAACGCTCAACACACCTGCATTTCGCTAAGAAATGTTTCGCATTCAAGTATTAATCTATTCAGAGTTCTTGCACTATACCCAGTCGACTTTGCCACGCACACATAATCGGATCTGTGTATAAATAAAACATCGATTTTCTCGCGCCCTCCAGTATCTCCACCTTGACAATACTTTATCGTCATTCAGCAATAGGTGATACATACGTTCACTTATTGAAGTCTTAGCTCTATTAACAGAGGGAGCAAGGAAGATGACAGGAAGAGCGCAAGTCAGGTCTTCCTTTGTCGCCGTGTTTTCAGTGCTATGCTCCCATAGAACGTACCGACCCGACTAGACAAAATTATGTACTCTTCGACTCATTCTTTACAATGTATGCAAATTAGACGTAAGAATATCACGAGTATTGCAAGGAGACATGTTGTTAGAAAGGCACAGACGAGCAAAGGCGCAAACTGGCACCCGATTTCTCTGTAATGAGATCCGCAGGTTTATATATCAACCATCACAACAATCCATTGAGATTAAAAAAATATATAAAACAGCCAAGTCACGAAATAGCTTGAATTTCGGCGTTGTACAGCGCGATGGAAGCGACTTTGTTGGATCATTTTTGTTTCAATCTTAAGGTGGGGGGGGGGGGGGGGGGACGCGTTGTTGTGACGGCGCGTCTGCGTTGTTTCTTGACATAAAACTGTGGATCTGCCTAATGAAATCAACTGTCAGTTTACGCCTGTGCTCATCAATTGTCATGCCTTGTTGCGCTACACGCGATGACGTTCATGTCCAAACTCAACTCGCCCAACAGTCAAATTAGACTACGCCTGCTCTCTCAACTAAGTTCCGTGTTTCATTAATTGGTTAGTATAGATTACCAATTCGTACAGCACACAATTCTTTTGAGACGGACAAGAGTAGCTTCTTTTTCTTAATAATTTAAAACTGCACTTGTGGAACTACATTTCTCTGATGGCTATACCTTGCTCTGAACCATGCATATAGGTGTCCGATTGAGCCTAATTCTATTCCTCGTAACGTAAGGAGTATAGTTTCACGCAATGTTCAGCCGCTACAACAGACCCAAACTGATTTCACGCAACATCTCTGTGCTCATGTACACTGCAAATCAGGTGGTGGATGCGCACTGCTAGGCGTCTGTGCCACGGGGGAATTTCTTTGAGAGTAAAACACACTGATTTATTTCAAGTTTAGAAAAACAAAGCTAGATGGACCGCAAAAAAAAAAAATTGAAGGACACTTCGTAAATTCCAAAGTGTGTCCGGCAAAAGCCTGTGGCTATTCTACCAACTAAGCAATGTCTTTGTTGTTATTTTCTCTCGCTCATTTTTCTTGTAGCTAATTTTTATCCATTCTATCAGATATCACTCGGTTTACGAGAAAGTGTAAAGGGAGGGGCCACAGCCGTGGCGGCGCAACTGCTGCTACGCCACTGTGACATCACGTGATTGCCAAGATAGTGTGAGGAGGAGAGTCCACAGCTGGCACCGTTCCAGGATACGGACGGACGGACGCGAGTATGAGACATTAAAGGCTTTCACCGTTCACCTCTGGATTCCCAGAGAAGGCAAGCGGGTTAGGGGGAGACAGAATGTCAGGTGGGCAGATGAGATTAAGAGGTTTGCGGGTATAAGTTGGCAGCAGCAAGCACAGGACTGAGTTAACTGGTGGAACATGGGAGAGGCCTTTGTCCTGCAGTGGACGTAGTAAGGCTGCTGCTGCTGCTCATAATGGTGATGATGATGATGATGATGATGATGATGATGATGATGACCTTGGAACACCTCCAGTCACTGTAATTCCGCGCATAAGGTGTCGAGCAGAAGCTCGACGGCGGGGGTTCTAGTCTATGTCTACAATAGCCGGATCTCGATGAGTGCGAAATGCGTAAGCCCGTGCACTCCCATTTAGGTGCTCCTTAAAGAAACATAGCTGGCGGAAATCAATCTGCAGTCCTCCACAACGGCGTGCCTTATAATCACGTCTTAGTTTCGGCACGTGGGACCTCAGTAATCATAACTATGTGAAAACTCAAAGGGTTCCTTGAGCATTCACTACAGACGACTCGAAGGTGAAATATATCTTCTTTTTATTCTCAGTCGACGTCCCTAAACCTGTCCCGCCACTTTTCGAAATGTTTCTGCACCTAGCAAAGTTTCGCATCCCCTACAAGATCGGAAGCACCTCTCCTGGTTTTGCATTACCTCCGTCATCGGACCCTGTTCGACCGAGCTACGACGCAATGTGATGACGCCGTCATGTCGCGTTTAGTCACGTGTAATTGATGTGACGTCACGATGATGTCATAATGGCAACAAAATTATGCGATCTGTGACATCCTCCTGACGTTACAACGTGATGATTTTTTGCATCACTCTTTCCGCAAGACGCCACCGATGCGGGACGTCGACGGTCAAATTTCGCGCTTGTCGAGGGCATGTAAGGCTTTCGCCTTAACGAATATTCTCAAAAAACGTATCAAGTAAGAGACGCGATGTTCACGCATACGCCGAGCCTCCGGTACAAGCCCCGCCCCCCTTACTTCCCTGTGTGAACAACCATAGCAGTTCTACGAGGAGTTCGTTCCAGAAAAGGAAAGTGCGCTATAAAAAAAAACTAGGAAAAAAAAACGCCGTGCAGGTGAGTGCGGTTCCTTCGAAAATGACGCCTGACGCCAGGGAAGGTGCAAATTGCTTCACGTTGTCAAGTAAAAAGACATTAAAGAAATGAACAAAAAAAAAACTATGCGCAAGTTATTTACCCATCGGTACGAAAAGTAAGAAAGACGATTTCTTAGACGGCGTGCGTGGTCGTTTTCCAATGCGGTGTCGAACGCACAAGCGGACCGGCCATAATCAGATGACGTTTGATTGGATGACAGCGCGTTACCTCCTCAGCCCAGGACGTTAATATTCTAGGCGCTTCGGAATTGCGAATGTCGATCCTCAGTAAACTGAAGATTACGCAAGTTAAGTTGATTCGCGTGAACGAATATTCGGGATTTTCTTTAAATGTCGCAGTCTTTAACCCTCTCTGCACATTCATCTTCAAACAAGAAAGAAGGAAGGAACTAAATTTGAATTAGAGCTACAGTACTTAAATAGAATAGAATAATGATAAGCTGTAATTTAGTCTGAACAGTGTTTAAAACACTTGAG